TTGTCTCTGGTCTCTTTGTCTCTAACTTTTTCCATTGTTGGTCGAAAGCTAAAATCCTTTTCCACAATCTTATTACAGGTACGCCTCTCATAAACCCCAAAACTCATTACAGTCTTTGTCGTTCAATTATTGTTTTTCTTACATTTAATGTTTCTCTGATCTGATCTCTAATCTTCTTCCTCACTCACTCAAGATCTCATCATGAAAGTTTCAAGATTGAGTTTATTACGTAAATTTTAGTCGAGAAAAATGCAAAATTGGCTTATGTTTTCTCACTAACTACTTTAAGTAACGTTTCTGTTTTGGGAGATTTTGATCTGCAAGATTTGTTTGCTTGCAGGTAGGTAGTGTAATTGGCATCCCCTTGAGCTGTTTATCTTTAATTTGGCTTCATTACATATCTCTACTACTAGTGCCCATTTCCTGATTTGGATCATAAGAGTGGAAAACCTTAGCCCTGTTGTTCTCAGGATTGTAAAACCTTTCCACAAATGGGCTTGATCAGGTTATGAGACTATGTACTACTTCAAGATTTTCTTAGGGCAGCAAGAGGAAGGTAGTTCTTTATGATATGACAAGTCCTTGGTACAAGAGTCTTTCCTCTGTGTTTGCTCTCAAACCACGGATCAGAGCCTTGCTTTTCTTTATCCTCGGTGTTGTAACTCTAGTTACCATCTTAGCACCGTTGTCATCCAACTCATACGATGCTTCTACAGCTTCAACACTTGTCCCCAACGTTTATAGTAACTACAGGAGGATCAAGGAGCAAGCTGCAGTTGATTATCTTGATCTAAGGTCACTCTCCTTAGGGACTAGTCTTCAAGAGTTTCCTCTCTGTGGTAAAGAAAGAGAGAGCTATGTGCCTTGTTATAACTCAACGGGTGCTGGGTTTCAAGAGGGTGATGTGTTGGACCGACACTGCGATTTTGAGATAGAGAAGGAGAGATGTGTAGTTCGTCCTCCAAGAGACTATAAGATACCACTTAGGTGGCCACTTGGTAGAGATATCATATGGAATGGGAACGTCAAGATAACCAAAGACCAGTTTCTTTCTTCAGGAACCGTTACAACAAGGTCCCTTTCTCTTGACACTATAACGGTTTCTTAAAATACAGTTTTTAAAAAAAAAAATTTGCTTATTTACATTGTTAGGTTAATGTTGCTTGAAGAGAATCAAATCACATTTCACTCGGAAGATGGGCTGATCTTTGATGGGGTTAAAGACTACGCTCGTCAAATTGCTGAGATGATTGACTTAGGAAGTGACACTGAGTTTGCTCAAGCTGGTGTGAGTCCTCTGTTTCAAAGCAAATGTAGTTTAAAGTTTTTGCATACAAATTAAGAATATTGTTACCCTTATCTAATACATTATTTTGTTAATTAATGAGCTAAAAATAAGGATAAAAACTAGTCTAATATATACATTGAAAATGTAAAACAACACTTATAATGAAACACAATTTAAAGCTAAAACGACCCGCACTTAATATGAAACGGAGGGAATATCTTAATTGATGAGCTTCTGAGAGTTCTAATGATGTTTGCTTGCAGGTACGGACAGTGTTAGACATTGGTTGTGGATTTGGAAGCTTTGGTGCACATCTAGTGTCTTTAAACCTGATGCCTATATGTATAGCAGAGTATGAAGCAACTGGGAGCCAAGTTCAGTTAGCTTTAGAGAGAGGCCTTCCTGCAATGATTGGCAGTTTCTTTTCTAAACAGCTTCCTTATCCTGCATTGTCTTTTGACATGGTCCATTGTGCTCATTGTGGCATTACTTGGGACATCAAAGGTAATAACATCAACAAGTGTTACAGTACTGAGTTATGTGTTGATAACTTGATATGATGATGTTGTATCTGTCCTTTGAGCAGATGCAATGCTACTTTTGGAGGTGGACCGTGTTCTGAGACCAGGAGGGTACTTTGTTTTGACTTCTCCTACAAACAAAGCACAGGGAAACTCGCCAGATACGAAGAAGACAAGCATCTCAACACGAGTGAATGAGTTGTCTAAGAAAATCTGTTGGAGTTTGATAGGGCAGCAAGATGAGACGTTTCTTTGGCAGAAAACTACAGATTCAAATTGCTATTCGTCTCGGTAATTGCCGAGTTTGTCTATTCCGATTATTAATACGAAAATCTCCAAATCATTCATACATTTTATACTCAATATATGAGGCTTTGAAAATGGATATGTTTTGTAACTTGTGCATAGGTCTCAAGCTTCTATACCTGTTTGCACAGATGGAGACAGTGTTCCTTATTACCACCCACTAGTTCCATGTATAAGTGGAACCACAAGCAAACGCTGGATACCTATTCAGAACAAATCTGCTGATGCAGGAACTACCTCAGCTGAGCTTGAGATTCATGGTTTAAAACCTGAAGAGTTCTTGGAGGATACACAGAAATGGAGATCAGCTCTTAAAAACTATTGGTCCTTGCTTACACCATTGATATTCTCAGACCACCCAAAGAGACCTGGTGATGAAGATCCTCTCCCTCCTTATAACATGATACGTAACGTGATGGACATGAACGCTCGTTTTGGGAACTTAAACTCTGCTTTACTCGACCAAGGAAAGTCCGCTTGGGTGATGAACGTTGTCCCAGTCAATGCACGTAACACACTTCCTCTCATACTTGATCGTGGCTTTGCTGGTGTTCTACATGACTGGTGAGTGCGTAGATTGGTTAAAGAACACTCTTTCATATCATATTCTTGAATATCTTTGTTCACTGTGTGCAGGTGTGAACCATTCCCAACGTATCCAAGAACGTATGACATGCTTCATGCCAATGAACTTCTCACACATCTTAGCTCAGAACGTTGCAGCTTAATGGACTTGTTCTTGGAGATGGATCGGATACTTCGCCCAGAGGTTCATATAATAAACTTGACCTTTGTAATCTTCCATATAATAAACTTGACCTTTGTGTGTGTGTGATTAATATAAATAGGGATGGGTTGTTATAAGTGACAAGTTGGGAGTAATAGAGATGGCACGTGGACTAGCAACTAGAGTGCGTTGGGAAGCAAGAGTCATTGATCTTCAAGATGGTAGTGACCAAAGACTTCTTGTCTGTCAAAAACCATTTCTCAAAAAGTAACTCGCTGCGAGTATATACTTCTTTCACACCATGAACAACACTCACTAGTCAATACTACACAAGTCTTTTCACTTGTAAATTTCTCTTTTCTAAATTAAATCCTGAGCTTCAAAACAGAAGTAAATCAGTCTGATTTTTTGTATAGATTTATTTGTTCTAAACAGATCCAAACTATGCATCTTCCAAAGCTCTGCAGAGAATTTTTCTTTTCTCGGGCAAAAGAAGAACAGTTGATGAATGTTTTGTAAGAGTGGAAGGTGTTTCTATGAGTAAAAGAAAAGATTTTGATTCAATTTTCTTTCTTTTTTTTGTTTTTTTTTCTGTATATTTTCAGTGATCCAATTTTTATTTACTCTTTAATTTTGTTAAAAAAGATTGCTCCTTTTTAATAAACTCTAAATGTTTGTTTCTTTTTTTTCTATCTGCCAGAGAGCAAATTTAGATGAGTAAAAGATGGTAGGAGTTATGAATGTTTTCACAATTGTAGAAAGGAAAAAACAAACTTATTGGAGATGCGGGGGATCGAACCCCGTGCCTCTCGCATGCAAAGCGAGCGCTCTACCATTTGAGCTACATCCCCATTTGCTTAAAAGTTAAATGCAATTCTATATAACTGATATTTAGATAAAAATGCAAGATGATTTTGCATAAGAACTCTGTCTCAATAATCTATTACTATAAAGTAGAGTTCCCTCATTGGTGAGGGCTCCACGTCAGTAATTCAGTCTCTATCTGCTTGCCACGTGTCCAGCCTAATATCTTTTCTGTTTCGAAAATCTTTTGTATATGGACTTATTAAATTGTTCGGATGGGCTTTTAGTGCGTTTTATTTTGGCCCCTTAATTGTACCTTCATCTTCTTCACTTTGTCGAGAAAGTCACATACGTTTTCCGCCGGCCTAAACACACTGACTCAGGTTGTGATCATCAGATTCATCACCATATTCACTATACTTACGGCACCAGAAACAATCACCGATTGAATACTCTTCATGTGATTCCAATCCCACCATAAGCATTTGTTCTTGCTAGGTTTTCTATAGTATTTAAGTTGAAGTTGTGCATATGGTCGATGGGAAAGATCGGTTAGATTTGTGCTTGGCTCATCGGAAAAGATTGAGTTTGCATTTGATTAAAGCGGATTATTCCTCGGAGACTTGAGAGACTTGGATCATTCAAAGCGTACTGATGCTCGACAAATGTCACAAGATTAAAGGTTCATGTAGTTGCTATAGATCAGACGTCGAACCCTAAATTTTACAACCATTGCTATAAAAACCATGGCTTTGTTCTCCACAACTTACATTAGTACGTTCTCTCACTCTCTTCATAACTCTCTACATTAGATATAGTGTTCAACTTGATAGATCATCTGGAATAGTTTGCTTTGGGATTAGATTGATTTCTGCTCGATGCAGGATTCTTCCACTTTAGGCATGTATGCACAAAGTGACAGAAGATTCATCAAAACATGGAGCAGATTCGCCTGAAAAGTGGTCAGAGAGAGTAGAGACTGTTCCTCAGTAGTTAGATTCCAAGGAAAGTGTAAATGGAAAACCTGCACAAGAGGATTTCACAGCACACCATGAACGTTGGAAAACTATTGTTTTAAAGTCATGCCTCAATGGTATGGGAATTTATTGGTCGTATGTGAGAAACGTGATTGATATGAGAGTTGTCTAAGGAGGGTAAGTACTAAAACAATCATTCACCAGTACAAAATTGGCTCCATGTATCTGTTACTAAATGATATATCTTTCTTTCCGGCTTTTAGTTTTGCTGCTTCATTGAAGGATATAAACTCTGTTCACGTAGTTACTATTGACTCACCAGATACGCTTCCAGTTATATATGATGGTTTTGTTCTACCATGACAGGTGTGAATCATTCAGCATTTACCCTGGAACTTAGGACCTTCATGCTGATCATCTTTTCTCTGCACTGAAGAAGGGGTATGTATATCTACAGTCCTTTAACATACATGCATCTCTGTTGCCTTTTTGATATTTATGAATGAAAATCTGATGTGTAAAGAGAACCCTTTAGATGCAGCTTGATGTCGGTATTGGCTGAAGTGGACAGTTAGACCATAAGGAACATTTATAGTAAGAGGTGACAGGGACACAATAGGAGAAATTGAGAAGAGGGTGAAATCATTGAAATTTAATGTAAGGGTGACATTCCAAAAATGGAGGAGTGATCTCTGTTCAGAAGTCATGGCAGCGTCCTACAGATGTCGACACCATTACATCGGCGATAGCAAACAAATGAGAGTTGGTTTAATATAGTTTTATGAGTAATCTTTCTTTTGATCACGTTGATTGTTTACATTTTATGTCCAATATGTGTATCTTCATTTTGCAGCAAACAAATCATAATTGTTGAAGCATAACTGTTGGCATGTTTTGCTTTTATTTACATCGTCTGGTGTTAACTTTTTCAACGGACTATAAACACAATCATGTTTGGAAGATGATGACAATGCATGGCTCACTTATACAGACGACAGATGCTTAAAAAACAGAGAAATGCTTTGGTTCAGGCGTGAACTAATTCATTGACTAAACCAATTGGTTAAAAAACAGGTCATTGCAGATTTTAAGAAAACAGAAAAGCTTTGGTTCAAAAGTTAATTAATTCATTAACTAAACCGATTGGTTTAGAAAATTAGGGTAACTATAATTTTTTTTATATAATCAAATGTTTTGAAATTTTAATGTCTCGTCCTTTTAAAAAATATTTTTGTAATGATAGATGATATATCACATTAATGATTTTAATTTTACTTATAAAATATTTTGAATGGTTTATTTTAAATAAATTAAAAACATAATTTTCATCTAAAATCTTAATAAGTAATAAACTAACAATTTTATACGCCTAATATCTTTCAGATAAGAATTTAGTTTTTAGATAAATATAAATCCACTTACAAACGTCTTAATCTTATACTTCTACATGTATGCTAAACTATTATAGTATCCAATTTACATAATTAATTATGTATATATATATATATAATATATAAATATCTAATAAGAAAAAGAAATCATTTTGTTTTATAATAAAATATGATAAATATCTAATAACTTAGTTATATGTAGTAAAATGCTTGCAATGATTATATTTTATATGTTAGTTATTTGTTTCGAAATTTCTAATCATATTTTGATAACATGGTTAACTTTGGTTTCATATATAACAATACATATAACCTTCAAACAAACAAGTATATGTATAAATAGTAATGACAGCTTCATATTATCTATATATGCCTTAAATTATTTTTAGTTATAATGAATAAATTATTTCTTTTACATTGTGTAAATCATTAGTTTTAAATGAACATGTACAAAATTAACATTGAGAGAATAAAACTAACATTAAGAGAAATTGAATCAATAAAAAATAACTCATTTCAGTCGACCTTAATTTTAAGAATTTTTGTAACTTATTTGTATACTTAAACTAAAACTAACATTGAGAGACATTAAATAATTATATTTTAAAATTTTGTAATTAGACAAGTATATAATCTGTAAAAATAATTATTAAAGTTGTTATAAAATAATTAAGGACCTTGACGCTAATTTTAGGTAAAAATAAATTAAATATTTATTATATAATTGTACTAATAATTTATTTTCGTCCGCCTGTAGGGCGGGTTTACCCTAGTCTACTATAATTAAAAGTTCTTATTCTAGTGTTTTTAGCCTGTCCACGTGGGCATATTTAATCAGCCAATAGGGTGTTTATATACGGCCACATCAGCGCCAACAAGGATAGATTCTGTTTCGAATGGGCTCACCTACTCTGGGCTTTGAACAATATTTGCGGTCCAAAAGCGAAACTGCCAGGCTCACTTTCCATCAATGTCGTATTGTGTTGGTCAAGTTCTACGCAGCTTCTACACCTCTCTCATCTTCTCTCTGTCTCATTCCCGAATCTCTTCTCTGTTTCTTCGTCGATTGATTTTCTCAACCGAAGTCGATCAATCTCTCTTGCATCCGTTAGTAAATTATCTCTCTGGTTGAGTTTTTTACAAAGATGAAATCATATTTTTGTGATGTCTGTGTTTGTGTCTGGTTAGGTTGAACCAGGGGCATGTGACCAGAGCTTTGGGATTCATGTGGCTGAGTTTTCAAACTTCCCTGAAAGCGTAGTGGCTCTTGCAAGGGAGAAAGCTGCAGAACTGGAAGATTTCTCCCCCAGTGAGTTCTGGATCCGTTTTGTCTCATTTGTATCTGAGAGTTTTGACAAAGATTGAAAAATTATTGTGGTGTTTTGTGTTGCAGGAGAGTGGGAAGAGAAAGAGCAGGGAAGATGATCTAGAGGAAGTATCAAGAGGGGCAGAAAAACACTGAGTTCAAACCTAAAACCAAACATCCATGCATCGTATTCATGCATGAGGTTCTAACATTCTCCCTCTATGTCTCTCTATTTACTTGTAAAGCATATGTCCTGCTTAGATCTAACTTGATATTCTGTGCGTTGTGTGGGGTTTAGGGTTCAAGAACTCACATGGGAATCACTATGCGCCTAGGATCAAGTCATCAAGAAAATCCATCTTCACTATCAAAGACATCAGCCAATAGGCAAAACTGTAAGAACCATTGATTTAAATCTTAGATGCTATAAGTTTACTTACCATGATGATTCTGTCTATTTACAGCTACGGGAACAAAAGACTGTTGATGAGAGGCATCGCTATAGATACAAGGTGAATCCTGATATGGTTGAACGGCTAGAGAAGGTAGGTCTCTCTTTTGCTGCCAAAGATGAAACTGGCAAACGCATGGAGGTCTGTTTTTTCTAATCCTTCAAAACTATTTGTTACCAATTCAAATCCATTTGCTGCAAACTCAAGTCCTTTGATTCATTGGCAGATTGTTTAACTTCCAAATCATCTTTTCTTCATCGGTGCTCAGTTCCACCTAGAGTACAAATCCAGACCTGGGAAAGCTTCTCCTCTCTTCTTAGGTCAGGAACCCATTCCAAACTTTTACATCTCTCCGTCTCTTGAATCAACACAACAAACATTTATTCTTTTTTTTTTGCAGGACTCATTGCAGCATCTTATGGTGAGCTAGACACAATCATGAATCCAGCTTCTGTTCATCAACATTTGATTAGTAACGGTCCAAAAAGCGTTTTTGCTAATGGAACCTCCAAGAAAGCTCCCAATGGCGTGGCTGATGTGAGATACAATAACGGATACTGCAACGGCCTCTATACTAGATAGCTGCTGCTGCTGACTCTCTCACCTC